CCCCAAAACCCCAAAACCCCAAAACCCCAAAACCCCATTAATTCATATAATTTTTGAACAGATTATAAATGAAGCCTTGCCTCGTAAAAATCCTGGCTCTTCTCTGCCTCATCTTCATAGCTGAGATTTCTGGAGAGTTCAAGCTGCAAGATCCACCTCCAAGGACCCCATACAGGTAATATTTCCCAGTAAAGTTTAGGTCTGATAACCCGAAAGGGCCAATACTAGCTCCTGTACCAAGAAACATGACTTTTGCAAAGGACGATTTCGAGTTCCAAGAGTGTAACATTAAATACCACCATGACCCGATACTGCTTGAAATAATAGAGATCTACAACGATGTGACATACGGTAAAGGGCACAAGGAAAGATGCTCAGGTACCAGAAGGGAGTCACTCAAAGTGACTATAAACTTTGCCAAGCTGAGCAGTGAGTATCTTCCTCCCAAATTTAACCCAGAATATGAACACTATACCCTCTCAGCTGATTCTCATGGGAATGTTAACATTTCTGCGGAGTACTACCCAGGTGTAGTGAGAGCTCTTGATACTCTTTCACAGCTGATTATTCAAAAGACTGATGAGAACACAGAAATGTTTGAGATGAAATATCTTCCCATAAATATCACTGACTACCCTGAATACGGATACAGAGGTGTCATGATTGACACAGCACGGGACTATTTCTTCCCAGATACACTCAAGATGGCTATCGATGGTATGATGCTTGGCAGAAATAATGCATTTCACTGGCATTTCTCTGAAGATGACAGTATCCCAATGTCTTCGACCTCCTTCCCAGATCTAGTCAACTACACTGCTTTCTCTAAAAACGAAATCTACACAGTACAAGATGTGAAGGATATCGTCAGATATGCTAAGATTAGAGGCGTAAAAGTAATACCAGAGTTTGAAGGACCCTCTCATTTGCATATCTTGGGATTCTACCCAGAATTTGAGGGACTGGTTGGCTGCTTCAGAAACTACACTAGCACTAGCGGCCGCCATGGCGGCCCGCCGTACGCTCCTGTGAATCCTGCCGATGAGAGGACTTACAATTTCTTTACAAAATATTTCTCAGATCTCAAAGATGCATTTGAATCTGATTACTGGCATCTTGGGGGAGATGAGGTTAGCATTGGATGTGTCTCAGTCTTGAAATCTACAAGCAAATTCCTCAGCGAGCATAATCTCCAGCTGAACAATCTCCAAGATTACTACATCGGACGTGAGAGAAAAGTTCTTCATGGGTTCCGCCCTGATGTGAGAGCAGGCTACTGGTGGAGAGGGAGCAACAACAAATACGGGGAAGGAGATATCCTCCAATACTGGGGTGGTGGAGGAAGTGTCAAAAGAGCCATGGATAGTCACCCAACTAATTACTTCATCTACTCACCTTCAGGAACTTATTACCTTGACTGTGGATATGTGAATCAATATTTCGGTGGATCCTGGTGTGGAGGCATCCACTCATGGAGAGACATTTACAACATCGATCCTAGAACTCTTCATAATCCAGATAAGAAGGAATTCTTTATGGGAGGAGAACTTCCTCTTTGGAGTGAAATGAACAATGAATTCAACATGCCTCTTAAGTTATTTCCAAGAGGAGGAGCTCTCTCATTCAGGTACTGGAACCCAGAAGTCAACCTTAATGAAGCCCAGCTGATGGAGATGATGGTCAAATATCAGAATAGACTGAAAATGTATGATATCCCATCGTCAAGAGTTACCAATAGATACTGAGAGGAGCATTTACATAATTGTTTTGGAAATTAAGACGTTTTCAATATTTTTATGTCAGAACGGGGTTTTGGGGTTTTGGGGTTTTGGGGTTTTGGGG